CTTTGAGTTATCTTTATACTCTCAATGAAGCCATCAGAAGTGCTTGTGAAGCAAAATGTGGGCAAGTCCGCAAACTGCCATTTCAGCCAAAGCCTTGTGGCAGAGGCTTTCCATTGCTTGGCTACAGGCTGCTGTGGAGCTCTGGGGATCAGGCCAGCAGAGCAGTACTGAATGCAGCTAACACACCCATCATGCTGTACTCAGTGGCTGTCATGTTGGGGCAGATGATAAATATGTAGTGTTTTAAACAGAAATAATAAAACTAAACCTCGTGTCAGCCGGTCCTGTGCTCCTAGGAAGCACAGCCAAGCGGAGGTATGTGCCAGTTCTTCAGGGATCACACAAAATAGCCCGTCTTACGGTTCACTGTGTATTTGTTCTGCCTGTGGCTGCATTCCTGGTCACTAGAGAGCTGCATTAGCAAAGGCTTGCTATTTCCCGTCCTTTGGAACAGAGCAAGATTCTGAATGACTCTGCGGCACCTGGCATTCAAAGTAATCAGCTGAAGGATTTAAATCTAATATTTTAATTGTTCCTGCTGTTGAGGAGATGAATTCACAACTTGCCTTCCGTGTTAACAACTGTGCATTTTGCCTCTTTGACCATTAAGAACTGCATTTTTTGTCTGGTTTGGTTCTTGTTTGCAGCTCATATTCGTTGGTCTGATGGTCTCTGGCAATAGCATCTCAGCTCTACACATGGACAATGTATAAGTACAGGAAAACTTTATTTTCCTCCCTGTCAGCAATAGCTCTCTCCTTGTGCTCCATTCCAATACTCTTGCCTATCATCAGCTGATGCTACCAGAATGTGGTTTTGGTCCCATAGCTTCTGTTCTCTGAGATGTTCTGTATGAACCAACTATGAAGGCTTTTACATTCATCCCCATGAGCTAACTTCTGCATCCTCTTTATAATTCTTTTTTGTTTTTCTCTGCACACATTTCTTGAAAAGTTGTGAGTGTAGCTGTCAGAGGTGTGAACCAGCTTTAAGACTAGATATGAGACTGCTTTGACCATGTTAACCGTGATCAGAGGACTGGAGCCTAGAGGCTTAGGATAAGAAATGAAATTTTTTTTTTAATTATTCTTTTTTAATTTTGAAAAGGCGATTGAGAAAAACTAGCAAAGGAAAAACTGTGGCATGCATCTCCTGCTGTTTCTACATCAGTTAGCATCAGATGATGCATTGGCCAAAGTCCAGTTACATAGACAAACTGTGAAATACAACTGACTGTAGAATAAGGGAGGTAAGGCTAAAAGTAGCTTCTGACCTTAAAAACTCATAGGGAGAGAAACGTCATCTTACCTTCCTTGATTTTAAACTATGTAAGGCTGTGCCTGCTGCTTAAAGCAGGAATTCAGAAGCTGAATATCCTGTTTCTTTCCTATCAGAAAGTACATCTCTCAGCTCCTTTCCACAGCAGTTAAGTCAAGCATGCCATCCACATTTTACCATTGCCACGACTGACTCCTCTTTCTTTTCTTTTTCAGTGAGGAAGAGAAGACTTGCAGAGTTGAATGGGCCTATTTTTCCCAAGTGCAGAACTGGAGTGTAGTTCCTGGCTATGGAGGTCATTCCCGGTGATCTGTGCTACACTGTGGAAATCTAAAGGCAATAAGTGCCTTGACAGAGTATTTGTGGTGCCTCGGTTCTGTTTTATGCACTAACAGTTTAAATTAACTAGCGGCTATAGTTTTTATGAAGATTTTATCCACTAGGACTGGTGATGTTTTCTGTAGAGTTGGAAACTATTCGAGCCAATAATAACCTGTCAGTTTTATGCAATCTCAGTTTAGAGCACATCCCAGTGTAAAAGTGACTTTAATCTGGGACTTAATTTTATATAAACTTCCTGCACGGTGTTTCATAAAGTTAGGATGTGGTATGCATGAATGAAAGATACAATTGTTTCACACAAATTATAGAAGTATTAAAAAAATACTTTATTTTTTTCCAAGTTGATCTCAAGTAACTATAGAGGAGCAACTGTTTAACAAGCACTTCCACCATCTGGAAACATGGCTAATTTCAAGAATTGTGAACTACCATTTTTTACTGACATTTGCTGAATCATTTAATTGGAGATGCTGTTTCAAATGCATCCCTGTGTTTCTTTGAAAAAAACCTGATCTCCACCCCTGGCATAAATGGAACTTAAGGCCACCAATTATAAAACAGAGTCTCAAAAATCAAGTGGTTTAGGACAGGTCAATATCCCTCAATGCACATCTGAAGAAAACAGTTACTTTTAGAGATGTGATACAAATTCTAACCCCACAGAGATGGCCAAACTAATCAGCAAATGAGAGCCTTCTCTTTTAATTCCCACTCCTTTCAGTTTCCTTATGTTAAAAGCATTTGTCCAGATATTCACTGGAAACAAGTCAAATTCTCTCTTTGCTGTTTTGTCTAGGTGACCATGTCCATTAATTAAATTCTGTTCTGCTAGGAATTGTTTCTTTTTACTGCTGTCCCTTATGTCCACATAAATGCAAGAATAAATGTTGTGCCCTAGAAAGGCTGTGAAGTGAAATACCACAACTCTGAACCTGCACTGTACATGGTCTGACCGCTTTTTGTCAGTCTACACCCGTCATCCAGCCTGGGAGGAATTCCCCACAGGCCTGTGTAGCTCCCAGACGTGCAGTGGACTGGACTCAGCACTATGACATCCAAAACTCCCACTGTTAATGTGAGTGGGATCCCGCTTGCTAGGAAGAGTTTCCTGGAAGAAGTGCTGCTGTACTGAAGCCTTAATCTTGGTCAGATGACACGTCTCAGAAAATGTTCTCTCTTGATAGAAATCTCCCTTTAAACATCCGTTAAGAGTGAAGTTTTTCAGCCTTTTACTGGCAAAAGTCCCACATACTTCTTCAGAGCTTGTGCGCAAACACCACCGACAGTTTAGCTCTGACCAGCAAAGCAGAGAAACACTATTCAGCAATGTGGGAAACATATCCATTGCTCTTCAGATCTTAATAAATGTGCCAGTGGTGTGATATAAAATGCTTCACTACAGCTTCTTTTCCCCACTGTGCAAGTTCTGTATCAGAAAAGGGAGAGACTGCAGAAGAAAAACACTTGAAAACATACTAAAATGAAGAAACTGGCAGAGAGCCACTTTCTTCCATGTGCGCTGCAAAGACTTCAAAATGGCCAACTAAATCATCAAATCAGAACCACACAGTTTCAGCTAAGCCATCCACTAAAATTTCCATGGTACAGGCTCAGCTTCAGAAGAACATAGATGCATCTTATCCAGGAAAGTCCTGATGGTACTAAGAAACCCAGATATGCAAGGAGATGCATCTGCAGAATAGGGAGCACTACCGCAGATACGACTACAGCATCTTTTCCTACATGAAAAATAAAACCCAGCTCTTAAAAAAGGAAAGAAAAGAAAAAAAAAAGACAAGAACTCTGTCCTGTGTTTCACTATAGCAGCATCCATGCAGCCCAGAAGTATATAAAGCTGGCAGGATCATTCCAGGTTCCTCAGCTGATCCTCACAGAGCTGCTTTGCTGCAAGATGCATCCGACAGCCGGGTGCTGTGCAGCAGAGACAGACAGTGCTGAGGCATCAGGCCTTGTGCTGAAAGGCATTAAGCTGTGCAGCAAGGGAGGTACAAAATGGTAGTATTTAGGAGCAAATGCATCACTATTTGTCCCAGCAGCTCTCCAGGAAAAGGGGGGAAAAAAACCATTTTGTGACTGCGGCATCTGGCAGTCAACAGCCAGTCTTGCTGAAAAGTCTTCCCTCTCCTAGAGCTAATGTGCTTTCTCTCAGGTATTACCACTGAGATGTCCGGATCCTACCACAAAGCATTTCACATGGCAAGTCCTTACTTGTATTAATCCAACAAAACTAATCCAGAAAACAGGATACAGAGCAGCTTATGGGCTAACTTGCAAGAAGGAGGCTACAGATGTCTCTTACCCTCTCTTCGTTGTCTGCAGCAGAGGGAACATGACTTTATGGGACTCCATCTACACATCTCAAACCCTTCTCCTTCCTTGCCTTAGGACAGCAAGGACCAGAAGAGGCCTCATGGCTCACCTCTGCCTTTGAGGTAGAATCTCCAGCTGCCAGGAGCTCTCAGCAGAATTGTACCTTGTAGCCAGGTCTACCATGTGGCAGACTGGCTTGGCTTCAGCATTTACCTTGGCAGAATCAAGCACATCCAACACAACAGGTGAAGTGTATTTGTGCAGTACTTAAAAAAATTCTAATGGAAGCATTAAAGCTTATTTATCATCGTGGATGTTTCAAAAGTTTACATATAAAATCTAGTTGTTGCCATTCTGTACTGGTGATATTGAAACAGCCTTACGAACTGATTACAGTGTCTCAGACCTGCTGACAGACTGAATTACAAAACTGTGTTTCTTTTTAGCCTAACACCAGAAGAGCATACCATGCAACCTGGAACACTCCCCATCAGTGCTCTAGACCAGACCTGCAAGTACAGCTTGCATGCTTCTCCACAAATACTCCAGCTCTCAAAACCACAGAGGTTAACAGGCCAGCAAAGACTGGGAGGCAAGATGTCAGGGAAACATTGGTACTGCTTAGACTTCTGCTGAAGGTGTCTACTGCTGGGAGTTTTCACAGATTTACTATTAAATGCTATCCTCGAAAGATTCTCAAAGGAAATATTCCTAAGATTCAAAGTTTGGCCTCCTTAAAGGAATTGTCAAAAAGACAGTTGCTGAACCATTATTTCACCATGGCAATACTGGAAACAAGAAGAAACGCTTGCCATGGAACCAATTTCCATGTATCTAAGTTGCTAGTCAAGCCAACTTGAGGCCTTACTGAATTAATAGCACCATGGGAGAAAGTTACAATCTGTATGAAAACAACATAGCCCTAACTGCTATTAAGCAACTGCAGAACTGTGAACTGTTTTCTTGCTTTTAAAAGCAGTTGCCAGTTCAAAAACCCCAAATGACTAACTGCTGTTTAGTTCCCAGAATGACAGTGCGTTTCAAAGACATTTTTCAGTCAAGACACATCTACACTATTAATAAATCCTTTCTGTACATTGTACAGCATCAGGCACACAAAGCAGCATGTGGGAAAGTATTTTGAGCTCATTTGCTGTAGGTTCTTTCAAATTCAAAGACAATTTCTCCACTAACAGGTGCTGGAAATTGCATAAATATCTTGCAGCTTTTAAAAAACTCAGCCCATGTTTAAAAAACACAAATGCTCCCCAGATCTTGAATTATTTAACCTGGATAAGGGATCCTGCAACCTCCTTATAGCTGTTGCTGACATTCATGCCCACATGCATCACTTTCAGTGCCATAATGCCAGTATTTTGACAGTCTCTGTGCTTCCCTTTTTGTGTGCTTGTTTCAAAGTGCTTCAAGCTGTCAGGTTTTTTTCAGTGCAAGCAGAGCCGAGCCCTGAATATTTCATATACTGACAAGTTGAAGGAAACAACAGTTCCCAGGGAGACTGAGCATTGGAATGAGGATGGCTTTTGCTGTTCATCCTACAGATCACACAAGTATTGCTGGGCAGACTATCTCCGGGCCTTTGCTCCAGTTACAAGAGGAGGACTGGCTGAAGGAGTTATGCTGCCTTCAGCCAGTTTTACACAAGAGTTAAGTCAGCGACTTCAGGTAACTACCCCTTGCTTCTCACTGGTCTAAAGTAAGAGATGCAGGAGGTGGCATGCACATGGAAAATATCTTCAGCTGTAATCTAGGTATATACCCACACCAAATCTGCTGTTTGCACACCCTAATACCAGCTGTTGGAGCAAATGCATGATCACTGGAGAGGTCAGACAGATTGATATCCATGCAGGAAGAAAAGAACAGAATTGTTCTTATGTCCCTTAAGTTTCTTTTGAATTGTGAGCAGCTCTGTCACACTGCAGATACTCTGCTCCAAAATCCCCATGGTAAAGGCCACACTACAAGGCTGTCCCCAGGGAGAGGAATCCTGCAGTGCTGGTGGCGCGTTGGGCACTCTGGTAATATACAGGCAAGTAATGGATGGTTTTCAGGGCATACTCTAGGTTTAAAGGCAGCATATGAACAAGACTTTCCAAGCCAACACATTTTCATGATTCCCAAACCTAACTGATTAACAGATAGGGATCTGGTTATAGAAGCCCTTCACATCAGCACGCGTCAGATCAGCCAATGAAACAGCTTAATCTTTTCCTGTGTCCAGCATCCTTTGTGAGACCCGTTCGATAGGTACCCTTGGACGTCTCCTTGTGCATTCACATTCCTCCTTAAGTGTCTGTCCTGAAGCCCTTGAAGTCACCTTGAGCTCCTTCTCTTGACAAACAGGACAGCAAGCTGTAAGACCTTTGTTGCAACAACTTGGACATGTCAGGACAAGCTGCCGGCAGTGCTGGCTCGAACAAAGTTTATACTGGTCCCACAGCGCCCCACAGTATCTGCATGCTGGAGGGAGGAGGAAAAGAAAAAGTTAACACCCACACTGCTAAGGCTGTTCTCCTCGAAGAGAGCTTGCTATGGCACCAGGGGGCTGCCAGCTCTCATTTAAGTGGCTATCTATTGTCTTCCAGGTTTTTTAAGTCCTGCTTAGCTTGATCTTCTAGAATCTAGTTAATTTTCAAACTTCTGTTTTTGATGTGAAAAACTTAGGACTGTTTTCTCTCAGGAAAAGAGGAAAGTACTCACTAGTCCTTCCTCTAGTTCTGAATAGACAGATTTAAAGATTCTTAATGTTCTTAATGCCAAGAGAAGAAGAAAGATATGCAGGTGGTAACTAAGCCAGTACACAGAAATGTTGCCTCTGGGGAAGGGGTGCCATGGAACTTCCTTCCATCTAAAAGCAATGGCTTGTTCAGGGTGTCATTTGCAGTCCTGGTGGAGTCCTTCCACAACATCAGAATTTTTAACTGTCCAACTGAAAGCTACAGCCCAATTTAGCTGCACCACCACACTTCCCTTTGAAACTTCTGGAGGGATGGCTGTGATGTGTCCAGAGTGTGTCCTGTTTCTACACCAAGTCAGGCTCCCTCAAGATGTATACACTAATTGCAGCAGAGGAATGAGAAGTTATGCTTGAAAAATTACTAACTCAGAGAAAAAAACAGCACAGCTTCCTAAAAAAAAAAAAAAAAAAGATAGCAGATCATTTCATCTGCAGTAACTGAAGAGCAATCCCAGCCAGAAGACCAAGCTATGTTCTTAACAACTTCTACTAGAGGTCACTGAAATTCTACCAGCTACAGAAAACTTTAAAGCATGAAAATAACAAAGTGCTGTAGTGCACAGTGCCACTACTCTTGCAGTGCCTGATAGCCTGTGTTGATATTCTGTGAAATTACTGGAGCAGAGAACTGCTGGCAGCACAAGAACTACTTAAAACTTGGGTCATTTGGCCAACCACAGTCTGATCAGCACTGTGGGCAACAAGCAGGTAACAACAGCAGTGGTGCTTGACATATATCTCTCCATAAGTGCAGATGGTTCATAACAGCAGCTGTTCTGCAGGGAATACTTCCTTTCACTGCTCTGGTTTTAGTGAACTCTTTTTAGTGACCTGCTTTCCTCTCATTTCTGTTTTATGTGTTAAAGCCGTAGAGTTTATAGTCATCATGAAAAGTGATAGCACTAAAAGATCAAACCAAGTATGAGGAAGAACTATGTAGACCAGTTTGGCTGTCCCTGTCCTGCACACCTCTGGAAGTGATTGCAATAGCTTCCCAGCCTTCTGCACTTACGTTATCTAGTCCTACCTGAGATGATATCTTCATTGGAACAAATGGCGTAACGATCATCAAATACAAACAGCTTCCCCCTGTAGAATCCATCTGGAAACTCTTCCAGGTACTTGTGAATTCCACCTTTTAGCTGGTAAACCTCTCTGCACACTGCCTGTTTAAAGCATATTAGCAGAAAAGCTGAAGGAGACCGCAGCAGTGGTGGTGTGCCAGAGTTCCCAAAGCAAATGTCGTGAATGCCAGGGGTCAGTGAAAAGCAGCAGCTTCCCAGTGACCATCAGATGGCACCACGTGCACCCACAACTCTAGGCAATGCCATCAGGGACTACTGGGCAGCTCCACAACGTTGGTTTGCTGACATGAACCCGGCTGGGCATTACCAGCCAAAAGAAGCTGGTAACCTCCTCACCTGAGGGAGGTTTGCTGCATCACAGATCAAATGCTTTTAAACCTCCATGAACTGCCGCTTATTCTGTTTTTATGTAGTTAACTGCTATCAGAAGCAGAATTTCTCAGGGTTCACATTGATGCAGCAGAGAAAAAACAAACAAGGTTTAAGTCTCTGGAGAACATCTATGTGTTCTGTTCCCTTGATCCTTGAGGGAAGGATCCAGGAAGAGTGGGATGGAAAGCACAATTAGAACAATGCAATGTGCTGGATTTAATTCCACAACACTGGGAAAGCACTGACTGGCTGATTTTCGTCACTCTGAAATGCTCAAGCTGTGCAGTAATGACCACAGAGCATAACCTAGACAGAGTCTGTGGAAACACTGCAGAATGCTCTCAAGCCCTCCTAAAACACTCCTAACAGTGGACATAAAAATACCTCTTATCAACAAATGGCTTATATAATTATTTTCACAGAGCAATCACTGCTGTGACACTAGACCATGCAGATTATACTGAGCTGCATTAAACTATCCACATCCTTGAGAGACAGCACGAGGCAAGCATGAGTTACAGGCATTTATTTCCCCACCTGTGCTTTAGGTAGTTCGTGCACAGTAAGAATTTATCAGCAAAACAACAGACAGGGGCCTTTAGAGCAGTCTTAACTCCCCGACACTTGTGCCTCAGAACAACATCTTACCTTGCTCCTTAGGTAAGCAGAGCCTCTTTCACAACGAATCCCTCCTGTGCAGTACATCAGGACACGCTTGTCTTTGAAAAGCTCCAGGTTTTCATCTATGTAGATGGGAAAATAGCTGAACTTCCTGATATCTGGAGCCAGACAGCCCTGGAACTGTCCCTGCAATAACAACAGATGGCCATGCAACTGGTTACAAGCAGTGTTACTGGTAAGGTCTGTGCTTCAAACTAGAGGAAGTGACAAACGTTTGGCCCGGAACACTCATCTCACTGCAGCCGTTTTAGGAAGCTACTCAGATGCATTTATGCATTAAAACACATTAAAAACTGTAGGAGGATTCTGGACACAGCATGTCTCCTCATCCAAACAGAAAAGATTGAGCTAAGCACAACAGCACTGTCAGAGAGAGGACAAACCACAACGCAGAGGGGTGGTGGTTGTGACAGCAGGATGCCCTTGTTCTTTTTTACACATGGGACAAGGCAAAAAATGCTGAAAAACATCCTTACAAATTATGCTACTTTTACTTGAAACGTTCACTGCTAATGTTGTATGGATCACTTTGTGTTCTTCCTGCCAAGCTGTACAAGCACTTAGCCAGGCAAGCTCCAGGCTGAGTTGTGAGCAAGTCCTCTACTGATTGTGTCTAATATTCACTACTAAACTTGGTACACATTACAGTCAATCTGGAACATGGCATCTCTTCTAAGGTTACACCCTCACAACAGTACATGCTTCAGGACAGCACTTGCAACGCATTGCAAGAAGCAGGCAAACAACACTTACTATTTTACTTTCATAGAAGTTCCTACAATCCAGCAAGATGGTATCGCTTTGTCCTTGACTGGCCTGAGACAAATATTGTTCTACTTCTCTATGAAATTCCTGAGGGGATAAATGGATTCCTTTAACACAAAAAAAAATAAGGGAGAGAAAGGGAGAAGAAAAGTGAGAAGCAGAACTACGAAACAATGTTACATCTGATCTCACTGATCCAGACAATCCTCAGATTTCCAAACAAAAGATTTTTTTGATTGTTCACAGCCTTTTCATCCCAACTCAATCAGCCAAGTTTATCCATCTTTGGCTTCCTATTGGTAAATGAAAGAAAACACAACACTGTCCCACGTGACAAAGAAGCAGCAGAAGCCTGTCTCTGTAGTCTTTTATTGCATCCTCCTGGCACCTCTTACTGTTGTAAAAGAGAGAGTAAAAAATGTTTCACTACCCTTTGCTTATCTGTCGTTATATTTGGAGGTGCAGAAGCACACAGAAATGCAGTTTTTAAGTGAAACTCTTCTTGATAAAAATAGAAAATTTCCATAAGGACGTATTAACTTCAGTACAACTTCAATTTACAGAAAGTTTCTCAGCTTTCAGGTTGCTCAGGACTTAAGACTCCCAATGTAATGAAAACAAAAAAAAAAATCCCCCAGCAAAATCCTTTACCTTATCTTAAAACCCCCTACAAGCAACCTGGTTGAGTAACAGGAACCATCTCCATAAAATGCTGTAAAATAGGAGGGAAAAGGGAAAAAAAAAGGAAAGATATATCCAAACATACATCCCACAAACTACAAAATAATGGGGATAAAAAATAATCCTTTCCCAAAACCACAAAAAGATGCTGTAGAAGTTTGGCACCAATAAAACCTCTCAGTGGAAAAAAAAGCCCAAACTGCTCTGTTAATTGCCACTTGCTGTGCTCCTGCTCACCACCTGTATAAGCATCCTCATAGCAATTGCACAGCCAGGAATATCTTATCAGGCATAATCAATGCTAAGCAGCTACAGGTAGCACAAAACAAATGCAGTCTATTTTAGGGGAGTGGCATTGACCTCATGGAGAACTTGGCTTTGCTTTAGTGCAAAAGACACTAAAAGAGCTTGGCTTCAAAACGAGCAGAGCCAAGTCAGCAGTCCACAACACAGGAACATGCATATACTCAACTGGAAGCTTTTCTGTGATTCTAGCATTTTCTAAAAAAGAAAAAGCTCTCAGCATCCACAACACCAGAGCCCACCGGATCCACAAGGCAACTCCACGGAAAAATCTCTTTTTATACAGCTTGGCTCTTACTGCAAGATAACCCCAACAAGAGCATTGGAGCTCTTTATATGATTTCTTTTCTGAGCAGTCTCAAACTCCTACAGAATACTTACAACAAATGTGAATATATTCATGCATAGAAATGTCTTTCCTAACCATCATATGTAGTTTCCTCTTACATCTGCCTGTAGCAGATGTCCAGTGACTTACTCCTTAACTAAAGCCAAGGTATGTCCCTGTCCCACAACAAGGTAACGGTTTGATGTCATCTGAACTGTTTCCCACAAAATGGGAATTTAATATTTAATATCAAGTTTTCTGAGGCAGCTAAACACTTAGCAAACTAAAATGTGGGTCAGCAAATTCTCTGTACTAGTAGCTTTCGACTACCAGTAAGAAATCAGTATCTGTTTCTCCCATGTCCTGGCCATTGTGCAGAGGGAAATGTATAACGTTTATTCCTTTATTCTTCACTTACGCTTCACTTGGGTGAGAGGCTTTAGTTTTCATCAAATAAACTTACCAGTTTCTTTATAAGACACTATCTTTGGATCAATGCCCATAGGTACAATTTCTTTAAATACTCCAACTCGAAGGTCTGGGAAACAGTGAGCTCCTCCTGCACTGCTCTACGTAATCAAACACAAAAACAATTCACCAACATTTGCCAGGTGTCAAGATTAAAATTACCTACTCACTTTAATTTCTACAACTCATTAGAACATGAAAATGTCTTGGTGGTTGAGAGAAAGAAATGTCTCTCCTGCTGAAATCCATACTTAAATCCTGAGGTTGAGGCAAATACAGAAAATACTGTAATGTATTCATGCATGAAGGTTGATGCCCAGAGAGTTTGAAGATCAGAGTAAAATTCCATCCCTGTTCTGTTTTAGCATCTACATATGACTGTACCTAATGCAATTCCTCCTGAAATTCAGCCAAGCACAACAGACAGTTAAAAAGCTAAGACTGAATCATCACTGCAGCTCTATGTGGAATTTGAGTTTCACAGTTTCACTGACTCCTTCGGTCTAGTTGCTTATGAAAAAAAAAAAAATAGCTCTCCCTGCAAGTAAAACTGTGTGAAGAATAGCTTCTGCTTTAGCAACAGCTTTCCTCCCTCACAGAGAAACCAGCACCTACAGTGCTGGGGCAGCCAAAGCCTACCAGGATGCCACAGAGTGGCCCAGCCACAGTTGCCTTCACCATCTCAGGACAGCCATCAGCACATATGCTCAGGCACAAGCATAAGTTAGCACCTCTGCCTCCAGCCAGGTACTAAGTGGAGTTGGAAGAAACCTCTTGACTGCGCCTGTGTGTTTTCTCTAGAGGATATCCAGTTCAGGGAATTGACAATGCACCTATGCAGACACCAAAGCCTCCGCGAACCTAAACCGGTAGGCATCCAGTCAAGGATCTCAAATCAGGGTGAAGAGTTCAGCGTGGAAATACTTTCCTTGCCTAACAGTATGTCGTGATGCCTACTCAAGCTGGAGAAAATGCTTGTTGAAGAATGATGGGGCTGAAGCACTCTCCCTTATTCACCTATATGGGGGGCTTTGTAGCTGCACCCATAGCTGTCAAAGCTTGTAGCAGCTGCTGTCACTGCTCATGATAACTGCTAACACTGGCAAAAGCCAGCAGAGATATCTAAACAAAGTATGGTTAAGAACCCTTGGCTTAGGTAAGTGCTGGCAGAGGTGCTACAGCAGAGCTAATGCTGTCAGGAAGAATGTGCTTATTTCTTAAAAATTAAATGACCTGCATTAACAATGTCTGGGTAGAAATTATTTTTTCATACCTTGAAATCCTCTTGACACAAAATGTTTTTGAACAGAGGCTGGGAAAGCATAACTTCAATGTACAGACTGGTAGCTACTTTACTTCCACCAACTGTCCCATTAATCCCTTCTGAAGCAACTCGTACCTAGGAGGCAAGAGGAGAAGCTGGGGCTGAGCCTTAGAAACAGCAAAGCAGATCACAGTGAAATTAGTAAAATATGACTGGATGAAAAAGGCAGGCACAGGAATATGTTCAGAAAAGAGACTACTGAATAAGGAAGGAAAATATGTTTATACTGAAGTTGAACATAAAGAAGACAGTAAATAGGAAAAAAAACCCCAGTAATCACTTCTGAGCCATTTCAAAAGAATCATAACAAGATGGTCAGAAGAGTCCGTGCAATAAACAGAAATGCTGTCTAAACAGAGAAATTGCTGTCTGCAAATCCTGCAGTCAGCATTAAAATTCCCACTGGAAGTCTGCCTCAGTAAGAACAATAGGCTTGTGCCCCATGACTCACACAGCTAAAAGGAAAATGTGAATATGCATAATATCATATCTAATATTAAACTTCAGGGTGAGTCATTTTATCTTCAGCACTGACAAATGAACAAAAGTTCTGAAGTAGGGGGAGGGAGGGAAGACTGAATATAAGAGGCAAGGAAAAAACCAAGTGTTTAAGAAGCTCAATGCTGTACCTGCCTCAGAGATGAGATAAAAAAAAAAAAAGAAAGGAAAAGAAATTTGAGAAAAATACCAACCACCAGGCAAGAGAGCTGAGCAGAAAAAGAAGTGAATGCATCAGGACATTTCACCCCCACATCTCCTGTGCTGATGTACAACAGGGAAGGTGCCTACCATGGGCAGATAGAAAGAACCTACTTAGGAAGACAAGTCAAAGACAAAACAAAAGGAGTCTCCTCCTCTGAGTTGTCCTCCTTCTCCCCACAGTAACATCAGCTTCATGAGGCTAAAACTCATCTTTGCCCACAGCCTCAAGAGGCCAGCTAGTTAAGCAACTCACATCCTTTTGGTCTGCCAGGAATGAGGAGAACAAAGACTGTGCAGGAATGAGCACTGCTCTCCCATGGTGTGGTCTAAAATGTCAGTTGCTCTCACCTAATTCCTGACAGTATGGATTACAGGTTGGTGTAGTTACTGGGCTGGAAGATCACTGTGCCCCTAGGAGTTAGGATACATGTAACCATGAAGCAGAGCAAGCCCAGTTGCACACTACACCAGTGCTGCATGTCCAGCTTGGCCTTCAGGCTGTGTTGTGCTGCAGTACCCTTTAGCCACAGGATAAAACCCAGCCTAGTAATGCTAACTGAGACACCTGCATGCAGCTCTCTGTTGACATCAGTGATTATGCCACCTCTGTCTCCTTGCCTTTATCTAAAAGTGCATCAGGGAGGTCTCACGTGAATATACTTTCTGTTTGATAGCAGGAGTGATAAAAGAACTTGTTCTTCTGCTTCCATGTGTAATGGTTCAAACGACAGAAATGGGGTAACCTTTGCAAGAATAGGGCCTGCACCATGTACTGTGTGTGGATCAGAGGCTGGCTGGGTGTTGCACAGCCAAGGGTTCCCTGCACCAAAACAAATATAAGATTATCTGTATTTTTTTTCCTTTATAGCCTTAGCTCTTGGGCAGAATTCTAAAAGATACCTTACAGAGTCTGACTACCTCTCTTAATGGGGTTGTAACAGATTAGCATCTTCTGGTGCAAAACACCCAATTCTCCACATGCCCCATTGTCCTGCAGTAAGCAAAGATTTTTTGCTAAAGAATACACTCATTGCTTAAAACCTTACCTTGCCAGTGAGATGCAGATGCTGGCACAGAGCCTTTTGCCAAGCACAGAGTTTCTCTGGATCCTTCACCTCACAATAACAGTAATACAGAAGTACTTCTCCCACCTTGCTGCCCATAGCATAGTAAAGACAAGCAAATAGGAAAAGGATGTTAGGGTTTGAAAGAACAAAAACATACTATTAGTAGTAAACATTCAAAAAGCAGACGATCTTGTTCTGGCAGTTATATGGAGAAAAAAACCCCAATCAAACTTTGGAGGATTAGCACTACTGGGTTTGATTTATTTCAAAGAGAAGGAACTAAAACAAGCACTCATACTTCTAGTTCTCAGGACTAGGTACAAAATGAACTTATCTGTGATGTATGGGGCATTTCTGCCAGTGGCCTACATGTGCTCTCTTAACACAGGACACAAGAATTGCTCATTTTTGTGTGCACAGGTGTCCCATTAAATGCTCAATTTGCCAAACTGGCACTTGAAAATTCAAGTGTTTGAGCTATCTAAATTTAAAAGGACAAAACCTTTAGTGAGAGACTGTGTGTGCCTGCATTCTGTGCAGCACAAGCCGTACACTCTCACAGCCAGGAACGTTTTTGTGAACCTACTTTATAACTAACAAGCCCTTAATGTACCTGAATAAGCAGAGAAAAGGAACATGTGCAGAGTATATCCTGCTGTTCTGCTCTTTTCTGTTATGGTCCTTCCTTCCTTACAGATCCAAGCTGTCCAGCAGCACCTGTATAGGTCAGCTTTAACAGCATGGGATGATAAAGCTCTGAGAGGGTCCTAAGCAGACTGAACTACCATCAAAAAACCTGCAGTGCACCTACTGTAAGGTGCACTTTTTTATTATTACTGTAAAAAAACTGTAAGATCATACTTTGAAGTAAATCTTTATATAAAAGATATCCAAAGACTTCGAAGAGCTAAAGGAATATCGGGGAAGACCACTTTCGTACTTTAAAAGTGTTGCTTGACTGAATTTCACAAAAGGTACTACTGGCAAATGATCGCATAAAGACGGGCACGTAAAGCCCATTCCTGGGCCTGCAAACCGACGAGGGGCTTTTTTACCTTGTCGGATCATCGTGGTTAATGCGGCTCGTGTCCGGGAGCGCCCAGGAGATCTCCGGGCTGCCCGCAGCAGCCG